TTATGCATTCTTTGTTAATGAATACATACTTCTGATTCAAGTGAGATAGTAATCGAAAGAAATAAAATCTCAAGAGAAGTAAATCAGTCTTGTTTAGGTAACGAAAAATGCACCATAAATTTTTAAGAAGAATACATAATAAAATGCTATGATATCAGTATTACTCACGTAGTACATTGTTGCTAGAACTGTGAACAGTAAACTGAATCGGTAATTGAAAGAAGTACTGCAAAGATAAATCAATATCATATTGAATATATCGATGGAACAAATATAAAAATTAATTTGAGAATTAAAGTGAACAAAAATGAACGAGATATTTATTGAAATGTAGTTTTTTTAATGGAAGATCTTGTTTGAAAAGACGACGCATTGAATCAAAAAGCAATAAAAAATTTTTTTTGCTTTAAATGTTTTTGTGGATCGTTAAGATGATTATCATCTGTTAAATTTTTTGAGAAAAGTTAGACTTTATTTAGTAGAATTAAATATAATTAGACTCAATCATGTTTTATATTAAAAGTAAAAATAATCGATAGAGATGGAGAAAGAGAAAATATCATATTTCGAACAGTTTTATTTGAGAAAATAAAAGAGAAATTTCGAGATGATTCATATAAATATTGTGCTACATTATGATCTTCGTTGACGTTTTGACCTTGAATTAAAACTTGAATTTGTAAGATCATTTAATGGAGTAAAATTTGTAGTTGCAATTTGATCATCAGTTGTTTTAATAATATTTGAACCTGTGGAATTTTGATAATCCGAAGCTAAATTCTTTCTTTGTCGTTTACGTTGTTTCACCTGTGGTTGTGATTTTGAATGTGATGATGATATTTTTTCGGGAATATTGATATTTCTATACGGAATAATGTTGTAAATATTACGAAATACATATATCAAAATAATATATCTTACTCATTTATATCTAAAGATGCATTTGAATTTGTATCAGGATTATCATTTGTTGATGTTGTATCGGTTAACTGATTCAAAATGAGACAATTATCTTGGACTGAAAAATCACCAGATGAATGTATTTCAAATTGTATATGTGATTGAGATTCACTTTCAGATATTGTTGAAGAAGTTGATGAAGAATTTGACATGGTTTGATGCTGTTGTTGTTGTTGTTGTTGTTGGTATTGTTGTTCACCATAAACATCAATATTTTTTTCTTTTATTAATATTCGAGCAGAATTTGTTAAATATCTTGTTTCAGCATGTAGAATTGCATAAAGAAGTCGAGTAGTTCGACTTTTTTTTATCG